CCTGGTGGGTATAGATAAGCATGTGACTTCGGATCAGGAGCCAAGCTGCCTGATTCACATGAATTAGCTAGTTCACGGGGTGAAGCGATTATTTGCAATGCTCGCCCAAGCAAATTGATGAATCCAGGGTGAACAGAATCAATGCACTGGCATTTGCCAAACACAGATTCAGATTAAAACAGAATAAATTAGTTCTTCTTAGTCAGTTATTGCCTCAAGTAGGTGAGCTGAGGAAGAAGAGGTGTTAAGGTGCACGTTAAATGTGAACTACCTTCTGTTTTCAGTTGAAGATGCAGAGCAAAAGACAGGGAATATAAACAGACAGTGAACCTAAAATTGTAGCTCGGTGGGGAAAGGAGTTCTGTGAGCAACTCCATTTCTTCCTCCGAATTGTACCCAGAACAGCACTGACTCCGATTTGCATAGACTGTTCAGAATGTAGGTTTTTAATTTATTGTCAGATAAAATACAAACACCTGAAGTCTGAGTGACTTCGTGTCTGGAGTTTCCAATCTGGGGTTACAGACTGTCACCGTGTAATGACAGCATTATTTGAAGCTAATACTGTAATTAATTTCTTACCACTATACTCAGCCAATGTTAATAATGAGCCATGCTGTTATTCAGCATAACTTAGCAGAGGCTCTTGCAGCCAAAGAATCCATAACCATGTCTGACAGTCTGTCCAACTGCAAGGGAGCATCATTCCGAAGATGGACATAATATGTTTTATGCTTACAAGTCATGCTCAGCCAAAGCGAGAGCTAGTCTCCTGATGTTGAGAATCTAGCTTTTTTCCAGTATAGCTGTTCACAAAGTAATTTAGAGAGTGCGGCATGCTACGAAGTAATATTGATGTGCATTGTGAACAAACTCTGAACAAATAAAGAAATGCCAACCTGAAGATGCAATCTTTTGTTGTTGGGGAAATAATGAACTATTTATGATTTTCTTATGATGTTTCATTGACATATGGTGCTTCTAGCCCAGTGACAAATTAATTGACTTGGTTTAAAAAGAAATGAATGCAGCTTAACGAAGGACAGGATATGTATTACAAGGCAGCTGGTTCTGCTGCTGCTGGCTGATGGAGACCATATACGCCGGACAGCCTAATGAGTCTCTCTGTTGCATAAGATAGATTCTCTTTATAATAGAATTGCACGCTTTGTCTCTAAATGGGGTTATTATACACACCACTGCACAATGTTTGAAGAGCTTGGTTGGCCCTTGTAGAGGGTTAGGAGAGAAATACATTGGAAAACAATCGTACTTAAGACCTTCAATCCATCAAACACTCCATATTTATCTAAATTACCAGAATGCTCTCCCAAAATATAAATTTGTATTATACACACAGCTGGAATGTTAATGCTGACTGGCCTTCACTTTGGTTTTATCAGTTAGGTTTTCTTTTGTAAACACAGACCAAAATTCATGCACAATGAAGCCTGGTAATGCATTTCAGCCACTACCCCCCACTCTTTTTGCCCTCTGCTCTTCCCATTTCCACTGTCTTGGTCCCTGAAGTTTCATTTGGTATTCTCTCTGCCCGCCATGAACACACATGCATCACTTGGCCTGGGTGATTTAACTCTTAGAACTTTTTGACTTTGAATACTGCAGCAGTTTTAATGGTAATTCACTCAGCTTCTTCACTTTTCTCCACACTCGTGGGTCCTTGCTGTTCAGTCGCTCAGTTATTCTTTAGAATAAATCCATTTTGATTCCTTTTACAGCCTTGGAAAAAAGCCAGGAAGTGGAGGTAGGGGAAGATGGGCTAAATGGTGGCCTCGTTCACTCTGTATGTGAAGATCACACATCCTGTTAGAGGGTGTGGGTGGAGCCCATTCAGCTGGCCTCGGTCCCGGGAGCTGAGTCATGCTCTTAACTCTGCGTACTCTCCCCTGGCTGCCAACCCGATTTCACCTTCTGGTTCCATTCTTCTACTGATAGTATCATGTAGCCTTTAGGAATTATGTAGCAAGATTTCCTCCAAGTTCTTTCAGGGTCTTCAAGCCCCAGAGAGGGCATTGCATGGGAAAAGTGATTCTCGAGTATATCACGACTGGGTTTTTGACTTGTCACATCTTGGACTTTGGGACACACATTCATTGCTGTTGACCTTGGGATTCTCACTTACGAAGTGAGATAGCAATATTTGCTTCTTCTAGCCTCTCTCCTCTGTGTCTATTTCCTCCCTGCCAAGAGCTGCTGAAAAGTGTTCCGCCTGGGAAACATTCGAAGGTTCTTGGAGTAAGATGATCTTTTCAGTTTAAGACGTTATTATATCCCAAACCAGATTGCTTCCCCCTTGTCTTTGTGGGGTTCTTTACTTTTCAAGTCCACCTGTATTCCGGTAGAGAGTAAGGGAGCTAAAAGAAATGGACAAAACAGTTTCATGGGCTTCTCCACATATTTATTACCCTCTCCAAATTGAATCTTGAAGCTTTGTCAGAAGTGTTATTTCTCCAACAGAGCAGGCATTAAGTGGCTATAGAAAGTAAACTCACCTCCTGACATCTTTCCCATTGCTTGCTACATCCATTTACTGGGAAGTTTATATTGTAAGGTGTGATGGGAGGTGTTGTCCAACAAAAGAAAATCCACCACTTTGTAATTCTATTTGTTCAAGTTTTCTTCTTTTGCATGGGCTTTTAGATTTCTTATTTTTGGAATTATTTCTTAAATGTGAGTATTGTTTTTTGATACATGTTTCTCCAGAATTTTATTCCATCCAACTAATTCTTAAGTTACATACATTCTTTTGAAAGTAGGGTCATGTTATTTGTGATAAAATTTCTATAATTTGGCCATGGGGAAGAAAAATGTAAAACAAATGCTAACAATGAGTAGTAGTTAATGAATTTTCTTCTATTGATTTTTTAAAAAATGATTCTCATGTTCTCTGTCAAAAACAGATTATTTGATGACAATGCTAAGAATATTTAGCTCCAGGTAAAAATTAGTTTCAGTTTGCTTGGATGTGTCATTTATTGAGAGGGCTTTTACTTATATTTTTTTCTTTAACATAATTACTTTAAAGAAATAAATATGTACAGAGACAAATGAATAGACACACTAGTCTTTATCAATGTTTGTTCAAATTATTGCAGTTTAGAGAAATGGGAATCCAGAACTGAGATGCCTAAGAAACAAATCTTCCCTTGTATGTAATTTCTTTAGTTCAAGAATCTGAAAACACATTACAAGCAATTAAACTTTAAGGTACAAATGGGAATTCTATATTGTTTGTTGGTTAAATTCATTTATGAAATTATGATTTGCTGTGGATTCCTAGCAAGCCCTTTCTTTTAGTTCTACAAATGTATACATCCTAGTTTTCTTGGCTTTTTACCTGTTCTCTCAAACAACTTCCAGATCTCTGCTCTTTCCATGTCATGTTTCTTAAAAGACTTGCTTTCTTTACTTCCTACTTCTGATTTGTTTTCCAGCCTCTGTGAGTTTTGCTCCCCCAATGTTATTGTAAACTCTCTAAGGTCAGTAGTGTCATCCTAATAGGCCTCCCCCAAGGCCATTTTCAGTCCCCCTTCTGTTTCTTTTCTTAGCCCATCGGATATCACTGACCACTCAAATCATGCCTCTCTTTGTAAACACTGCCATTTCCTGGTTGGGGGACATTCAGTTACTTTCCCTTGTTCCTTTTCTCTGGGTCTTTCTTCTTTGCCTCCCCCTGATATGCTGGCTCTCCTAAAGATCTCGTTGTTCTGGCCCACCCCAAACACCATCCCTAGTTGATGGAGCCATTCTTATGGCTCTAGCCACGACCCACCTCCAGTTCCAACTTGCTCTTTTGTTCGAACTTTGGGACCTCATTTTCAACTCTTATTCTCAATATCCCACAACACCTCAAACTCAACATATCCAGACCCCACTGATAATCAGAAGAGAATGTGGGAACGGTTCCTTCCCCCTTCCCCACACCCCTTCTTTCCTAGCCTCCCTGCCTCCATTACCATCACCTGCCAGCCCCCAAGGTGTCCATATTAAAAGCCTTAGAGTCTTCTTGGTCCTGCTCCTTCCTTCCTCACTTGTCTGATCTTTCCCCAAATCCCACTGATTCTATCTCAGGAATGTCTTCACATATCTACCTCCTTTCCATCCTAGTTGTCTTAGGTCCATCTGTTTTCATCTTCTGCTTATCCTGGTCCCCTGAACAGTCTCCTCACTCTGTTCTCTGCCTTCCCGCTGGAGCTATTCCTCTGAAGACAAACCCAAGCACGGCTCATCCTTTCCTCCCAAACCACAAAGCCTGGAACCTACCTATGAGCCCAGCCTTTTCTCTCCACTACTCCCTCCTTTGGCCCAGGGCACCTACTGAACTAGACTCACTTCTCCTGTGTCCTGACTCTGAACCTTGGCCTAAAAACCTTTCCTTTCTCTCTCTGCTTGGGGAAAAACTCCTACTCATTCTTCAAGCAACAATGCAAATGATATTTTTGCAAAAACTCCCACACTCCCTACTTTTACTGGCCACAACACTTGTCCAAATCTTCCATCACTGCCCTTGTCTCTCAGTCATGTGATCATAAGTTTAGGTAGAGAGAGACTTTTCCTTCCTCATATGTCGTATTATTTGTATCCAAATGCTGGGCCTATCCTAAGCCCTTGACCGGGGTTGTTTGGACGCACTTTTTTTTTTTTTTAAAGATTTTATTTATTTATTTGATAGAGAGATAGCGAGAGCAGGAACACAAGCAGGGGGAGTGGGAGAGGGAGAAGCAGGCTTCCCGTAGAGCAGGGAGGCCGATGCGGGGCTCGATCCCAGTACGCTAGGATCATGACCTGAGCCAAAGGCAGACACTGAGCCACCCAGGCGCCCCTGGACGCACTCTTGATAGAATCTACGGTGAATGTGTTCAGTGAGGCACTCCGAAGTATCTTAGGATGGTCCCAAGTTCTCCCGACCTTGCTGGTAAAGGCACTTTCCCTGTCTTGAAGGGGCTGTTCATCTCCCTTGTGGTTTTGCTCACCACCAGGAAAAAGAGAAACTGTATGTGGAACTAAAGCACATCCTGGCCCGGCAGCCCGGTCCCGAGGCCGCAGAGCAACTACAGATCTACCGCCACACGCTGCGGGAGAAGACCAAGCAGCTGAAAGTAAGTGGGAGCCTCTGCCTTTTCCTGGTCCCACGCGAGGGACCCGGACAAGTCCACTGTCTCAGTACAAGGAGCCGGTCTCCCAATGCCACATGCCGCAGAGGTTGGCTTTTTAATTCCAGTCCCAGGAGGAACAGGACACATCTCAGAGCCACCCCCCTGCAGCTAGACTAATAGACCCCACGATTCTCTTCTTCCTGAAAGAAGGAGGTGAGCAAGTAAAGAAAGAGTTGGAGAGAGAATGATGGCACCAGAATGGAAATTTGGGGGGTGGTGTGTATAGGGATGATCTCAAGATGAGTGAGAGGACTTGGATGGTGGGGAAGAACAGAGGAAACATTTTAACACCGTCATCCCCGGAAGCAGACCGCTGTGCCCAAGCAGGTGTTTGTTATTTCATTCCACCTGCAATAAATGTTCAGAAAGCACAGGTTGGTCCCCAGCCCCCAGGGCCTGCCTTTGTGACCATCTCTCAAATCAGTCACTATGAAAGGAAAGTAAAATCACTAGAATTCTGTTAGCATAAATTCCCTTCTAAGTGACTTCAGAACCTCAGCTGGGGAGATGGAATGTTTTATTATTACATGTGCCTTTTAAAAGTTTTCTCAAAAAGTGTGTGTTCCCATTGTATCTGGAGCTTTACCTCCTCAGCAGGTACTTAGATATTCTTGGCATGTCAGGGAAGTCTCACACACATGCATGCACAGAATGTAGCACACGCCGGCTGAATTCTGGCACTTACCTGCGCAACGGGGGTAATAATCGTTGCCTTTCTGCCTGGGGTAATAGAGATGCCATGCTCCTCGTCTAGTTCCAATCCTCCCACAAATAGGACATTGTAAAATCACATCCTTCTACTTTAAAAGAGGCAGATGAAACAGAAGTGTAATTAGAACATTAATTTTCAACTTACCACTCACCGTGTTTATTTCATATGAGTATCCTGAGATGTACTTCAAATTTTGCATGAGGCATAATCTTTTGATTATTTTCATCCTTTTAAACAATTGTATATGTCAAGCAAAAGAAAAGCTCATTTTCTCAGGAGTGGGTATAGACGAGAAAAGCACATGTCTGTCTTCACATTACTGTCAGATAGCCACACTCAGCACTAGATTGCATTATATGGCTCACAGGAGCTTTTTGGTATTTTAACCCTTTAACTCAGGAAATCCAGAATTTTGCTCTGATGAAATGTGACCCCTGGTGGAAGAGGTTCAGAGGTGGTGGCCCTCAGCCGGTCTGCCAGTTTGTCCTCGTTATCTGGGCTCTTTTAGGAAATGCTATGTTCATTGTTTGGAAACAGAGCCTTTGTTCCTAATTGTTTAACTATTAAGGCAGGTTTTCTCCCAACATGAAAGTCCTATTCTTTAGCTCATGATAGCATAGTCAGAATCGTTTTCAGAGCGATTAAGGGAAAGTGTTCAGAGGCAGATGAATACTCAGAAGACAAAGATCCCCCTTTTGTGCAAATTTGTAAAATCGTGAGCAAGAGGAAAAACAAATCCGTCTGTTGCATGCCCCTTAGAATGGTAACCTTCCTTCCTTCCCTCTGGTTTCTGTGGGGTGTACTCCTAGCTTGGGCATGCTTTACACATCCTGTTTAGGTGAGTAAATTCCCACTCTTCCTGCTCAGCTGAGACCAGTAGCATCTATGGGACACCAGAGTGGAAGAGGCAGATAATCAGGGTTCCTATCACGCATGCTTTAGACTTTCCCATGCGCGTATCAGCTCCCTGCTTCTCAGAGGTGAGTACTGTGGTGCTGGGAGAAAGAAAGAACCTGTGCAGAGTCCCAAAGAGCACAATAAAGAGGTGACAGACATTTAACAGAACAGCAACCTAGGAAAACACATAAATTGGATGCCTACTTAGTGGTGGTGGTGGCAGGATGATTCCAGAATAAATTTTACCATAATCTGCAAATGAATCACTCTCCCTAGTGATGACTTCCCTGAATGTTCTTTAAAAAGACTTTAAATGCAGTTTGATGCTGTATGTCTGGGAGTTTTTCTGTCTCTGCTCACAATATACCTGAAACACTTTACACCATTCATGTGTGAGCCTGCTTGAATGTGGCCTGAGAGTTCTTTTAAACAGAGGTTTCACTACATTTGTCACTGGATTAGGAGTCTGCAGACCTCAGTCAGATTTTTACCTAGAGGCAGACCTTGAGAACTGGCAGAAGTGAGTGGATTAGTTGTTAAACTTGGGCATGGTTTTGTATCACTTGCCTCCCTGAGGTAAATGGCAGCAGATTAGAAAAAAATCTCAGGAAAGGATATTGTCTCACTGAGTCTCTTCTGCTAATGCTGCTTTATTTGTCCTGTTAGGTTTTGTCTTCAGAGTTGAATATGTATGAATCACAGAGCCAAGAATATAAATATGAGATCGAGAAACTTACCAATGAACTGATGAACTTAAAGAAGAAATACCTAGCTCAGAAGCGTAAAGAATACATTCAGAAGTAAGAATTAGTCAAATGTTCTTCTAATTGTGTTGTGCCTATTACCTGCTGATAAGAAAATAATTGGCAGACAGTCACGGAGTCATGGAATCCATGGGGGGTAAACTAAGGCACAGGGTGAACAAATGACATTCTACAGGTCCCCACTGGTTTGTGTCAGAGCAAGATGCATGTCTCCTTTGATACTAAGGCCTCTCCTTAGGACCCGAACAAGGATCCATTAATATCTGCTCATTGGTGGACCTCCCATGGAGCAGAGGAAACAGTGTGATCCGCGCAGCGCCCCTCCCCCAACACTGTTCTCATGGTTTGAGAACGTTTACAGACACAGGGAATCTTGCTAAGGGGTGGAAGCTTGGTAAAGCTGTTCTTCCCGAGAATGCAGCTGTACCACTGTAATGACGAGTAGCTCACAGATCATTTTTTTAAAGATTTTTTTAATTCATTTATTCACGAGAGACTGGGGGCGGGGCAGAGGCAGAGGGAGAAGCAGGCTCCCCACGGAGCAGGGAGCCCAACATGGGACTTGATCCCGGGACCCCGGGATCATGACCCGAGCCGAAGGCAGACACTCAACCAACTGAGCCGCCCAGGTGCCCCCACAGGTCATTTTTTACCTATGTTTTAGATAATCGGTCTCTGAACCATCTTTACGTCTAGTAACTGACTTTAGTATCTGCTGGGGGCGTGACGTGAGCTCTTCTTTGAGGAGAGGATGATGCCCTCTCAGGTTGACATTTGGGGTTTCAGGATACCTACATGTGGACTGACAAATGTCTCTTCAGTTGGTTATCATCATTTGCCTAAGGCTGGGGTGAGAGAGTGGGCCCGAGGGAATCAGTGGGTTTGAACCTTGGCTTGGCTGTGTGGCATTACCCACCTTATCCAGTTAATTCTGTAGTGGCTCACATCGTGGGTTTACATCAAGTTGGGTATTTCATCCACGTGGGCACTGCAGGGACCTGGTGAAGAAGGGGCATCTGTCTGTGATTTGTCAGTGACAAACAACTATTTAAAGTAACTCGATGCAAATGGATTTGCCAGGAAAAATTTGCCCTTCTTGTAAATCAGAATATTCCCTCATTCCACATTCAGATGCCAGCTTCTTGGTAGAATAAAATCCTGCTAAAAATTAGAGCTAATTTTGGTGGGTCTGTCTTGATGTCTGGGTCTGGCAACTATCTGATTCAGAATCACTGGTGGGATTTGGTGAACATGCAGGTTTCCAGGCCCCATTTCCAGATGTTTGGGTTCTGCAGGCTCTGGATGAATTTGCAGGTCAGTCACTCCTCAGGGGATTTCCATGCTCACGGAAGCTGGAGAACCACTGATATTAATGGTGTGAATCAGTGCATGTTGGGTGGAAACACGGTGGTTTTCTTTTAGGACACCAGGGTCGTGCTGATGGCTGGTTCCAATGTGAGGCATGTGTCCAGTTCAGTGGCCTTCAAGCATTTTGATTACACTCTCTTATCAGTAAAACACTTTTGAACTTGTAGCCCCCCATATATATGCATGCATATTAAATATGTATTTGTTTTGAGTTTTAAAATGAAATTTTTTAGAATAGTTTTCTACTTCCAATATATTTTAATTTATCTAAATTGCATGCAAAATACTATTGTCACTTTGTCAGTAATTAGTAAACTGAGATTTTTTTATTTTTGAAAGACAAAATATGAATAGAATCTGAAATACCTTCTTTGCACTTCCCAGTGGGTCATCTTACTCATCTTGTAGAGTAAATGCAACCCGTTTTGGAGACCAGCAGTCTAGTTTACACAGTTACAAACAGCCAGCTTAGCTAAGCAGTTAGTTAACTTTCTAGAGCTGACTAACTCCCCACCTTGGCCCTGGAGTTTGGCCTGTTGACCTTATTGATCCCCCTCCTGCACACCCTCCATGCAGTTTTCTGGACACAGAGAGCCTGTGGAACCAACAGGAATGCCCCTCTGTGGGCTCAGCCCCTCCCAGTGGCACATCCACGAAAACTGCAATGCCCCCAGCCATAGGCCACTTGTGGATATTTAACTTAAAATGAATTACAGCTAAATCAAATTACGAATTCAGTTCCTTAGGTGCACTAGTCGCATTTCAACTGCTTAATAGCCACATGGAGGTAGAGGACACAGCATTAGGCTCTAGATAGAGAGCTTTGCCATCATCGTGGAAAGTTCTATCAGCACAGCTCTAGAATCCTTGCTTTTACCTGTCCTCTTCTTGCCCTAAAATGTTCATTACTTGTAGCCACTCTGACCTGGTTAGGATGTCATTGGCGCTTCCATTTTGGTGGGGATCCATACCCTGGAGGTAGACAGAGAGAGGGGTTCACGGGAGAAGAGCAAAAGGTTTCAGGTGCTGAAGGAAAGTATGCTGAGGCAAGAACAGGGTGCGGAGAGGGTGTGGACTGGGAGGGAGGAGGCTGAAGGGGACCAATGTGATGGTCTACGAATATACTACAAAGGCAGTGTAAAGGAGACATCATTCCCATCAGTCACCTCAGACCAAGCCAGCCGCGGTAAGCTGAAGTTCCTTCAGAGAGGGAAAGTTACGTTACTGAAGGCAAGAGAGGGATGGGGAGGGGGCTGCCTGCATCCACCAGCCATCAGTTATGCAGGTTGCAAGTACTAGAAAGAATCCTCTTTACTGGGTCCACTCAAGGCTAAAGCTTTTGTCCTACTTATGGAGGATTATTTTTTTTAATAATAATGAAATCAATCCTGCTAAGAGACTGCTGGATTCATTAGTCAATCCTCTACAGGTTCTTTCCAAATGGAATAATTTAGAATAATCTCTGTGGATGTTTTCCCTATACTTGGTCTTTATAAAATAGCAACTCATGCTATTTTTGCCTTCTTTCACTTTTCTCAAACACCCTTTTCATCATGTTTCCATCCTGACCTGCACCCTCACCCACCTGCCACTGACTCTCCTGCCCCGGACCCCCAGGCTGGTCTCGAGTTTGCAGAACTAGCCAGATTCTTTCCCCAAAGGTGGAATTCTTTCCCTTAAGGTAAATCACTTCTAGTTGTCAAGTCTAATTGGGTTTGGTCTTAGTTGTTAGCTTAATTTTTATTTTTAAAAAGGGATTCCAAAGATGTTTTCTGTAAGACCCCTAAATACACAATAGGGAATTTGTGTAAATTTAAGCTACCTCTGCAGGAGACCTGAATGTGTCTGTGTGCAAATGTGTTTGTGTGTGTGTGAACGTGTGTGTATATGTGTGCGTATTTAAAGGAGATATGTTGTAGATTTTCCTTTATCTATTGCCAAAGGTGCTATCTTATTTATCTTTCTCAGATTTTCTTGTATCTTAAACTATTTCTAATAATAATTGCTGCTTGTCTAAAGTTATAGGAAAATTTGTATTTTATAAATATCCAAGTTTGGTGAAGATATCTTGTGTGTGTGGTAAATATTTATAAGTTTCCACTGAAACTTTGGAATATAAAAGTTGGTAAATGATGAATTAGTCATTATAACTAAGCCAAGAGAAAGATTCTTCTGACTGATCTTTGGAACTAAACAAATGTTTTATAAAACAGGAAGATGATTACAGGTCGGAAGTGTCAGGTCTATAGTGATTGAGTTATAATGAGGTTTTATGTCCACATTTAGATCACCATTAAGAAGGTACATTTAATTGTGTCTTTCCCTAATTCTGTGTGTTATCAGTGAACACCTAATTAGATTTAAACAACTACCTTGTCTAAAACTGGAAGCTTTAATCAAAGCAGTTTTCAGTGGCTAACTCACCCTAGGAACTTAGAGAACACCACACTTAGAAGAGGAAAAATATGTTAAGGAAGTTAACTTTCACCTCCTGTCTTACAGAAATAAGGACAGAGTACCCATGGATAACACCTTCTCAACGGCCAAGCCAACTGGCCCTCGTTTTACTGGGGGTGGATTTCCCCTCAACAGGCCATCCAAAGTGAAGTCCTAACCTGAAGCTCCTGGCTGGGTGCATTTGAACAGCTCATGAAATTCGCTTTGAAACATTTTGGAGGAATCTCTTTCAAATCCCTTGGATCCTAAGTATTTAGAGAAATCAGTGCTCAAATTCCAGGATGAAAAGAAATACAAAACTATCATCGTCATGTACATGTAAGAGTGATGACATTCTACTTGGTCCTCATGGATATTAACAGATTGTAATTATATCATTCAATTAGGCTGACACGTTGCTTAAAGCAAATCTTTTGTTACTACCACATTGATTGATTTGAAATGCACCACATATCTAGACACTCTGTAGAGATGAAATTTTGGGTCTGAATTTATCTATTATAAACATCGGTGTATAGGTTTTACATTTAAAAATATTTTTGAAATGCAGTGTGTTTCTTATTAATTAGAATCTTTTTAAATTATTCCTCATTAACAAGTCACTGCATGAGGTGAGAAAAGAAAAGACAAACTCCCAAGTATTTAAAACGTGTTTTGAGAATGATTTCTATGTGGAATTTCTTTTCAGGCCTGGGGTATGAAAATCTATTCCAAAGAGATAAACTAATAAATACTTCACCATAAATAATAAAAAAGAACCTTTGTAGAGATTTTGATCTTTGCTTTGGTAGAGTATGTAATTAAAGTTTAAAACTACTTTGAGAAATGTCTAACATAAGGATCTGATTCAGTGGAACCAAGACTTTAAAATGAGGGATTTGGGCTGGTGTCCTCTGAAGGCCTTGTATTTCTTAGACCTCCTGCTTGGAGAATGGGGTTATGTAGGACAAGGATCTGTGTGGCTTTCAGGCTTCAGGCCAACATTTAGAGTCATTGAATCCATTGTATTATCTTTCTGTTGAAGCCACAGTTATGTGGACTTCAGTTCAAAGTTTCCTCATTAAGTGAGTTCATTCAGGAATATTATGTGAGGACACTTTGGTCATTTCTCTCACAAGAACTTGACCTCTGCAATTTTTTAAATTATAGAGGAGTAAGCAGCTCAAGGACAAGGACAATATAAGTGGATCATTCCAGTTGTCCTATGGGACCAAGTTTCCCACTGCAAGGAGCAGAAGACTTAATGACCCCAAGATGCTTGTTGAGATTATACAGAGAGGTGGGATTTTAGAGGGATCACCTGCATGTTCTGCTGTCTTTCTCAGTTCACCCCCAGAAGCAGATCCAAGACAATGATGACCGTGAAGTGATTTATTATGAAGTGATCCCAGGAAACCCACTAATAGTGGGGAAGTAGGTCAGAGAAGGGAAGGCAATCAAGCTAGTTTGCACTTTTAAGTCAAGTTCCATGGTGGGAGACTTTGGCTACATTTTGCAGGGGGCTCTGGAGACAATGTAATCACAGCTCAGAGTTGTCCCTGTCAGGGGCAAGGGAGCTGGAGTATTTATAAGCCCCATGCTGGCTGGTGTTGGTCAAGGACCGCTCTGCAGGGGTCCTTCTGCCTGCAGGCAAAGCAGGGTCTGGCAGCCTGGGGGCAGCCACGAGACAGAAATGGCGTTTGCTGACTGTCAGCAGTGAAAATGCTAAGGGCTGGGGGAAGTGGGCTGGGCAGTAGCATCTTCTTGCTTTTCCCGCATGGTCCCAGGAGGAAAAGGACAGATGGAAATCACCCTGCACTGTAGCTGGTGACCCTGTGCTGAGGTGTGGTCATCAACTCTTTGTGTACCGTATAGGAGGGTGGAGGATAGGGATGTACCCTAGAGAATTTGCCAAGAGCACCTTAAACCTAAAGAATCACAGTGGGACCATTTCCATTTTTGAAAATCACTGGTGACATCTGACCTCAGGGCCGTATTTTTTCAGACAAATGACTTTTGCAGGTAAGGTAAAGCAAGGCAAAGTTATTACACATGTACAACTTTGGAGATTTTCCAGTCCATTCAGGGACATTTTGCAGGGTATCTATAGCCAACTTCTTTCTGAGTCCTTGGATGGCTTTATAAGAGGTTCACTTCTCTAGGGAAAAAGACGTCTATGATTCTTGATCTATCTCAGTATGATAAAGACTTTGGAGGCAGATGCTGCGTTCGAGTTCTGGCATAGCGTAACAATGAGTTGTTTGAGGATTAAATGAATTAATGCAGAGGTAAGGTTAGAACAGTATCAGGCACATAGTGACTGTTTAATAAATACCTGCCATTATTATTATTACATAGAGATAACTTGTGTTTTGAAATTAGAGAATAAACAATGTTTATGACACTACAAGGTAGGGATGAAATTGGATTTTGTAGTGTGATTTAGGGTTGAATATCTTGCAGAAATGCCACATTGGGTACCTCACGAAAAATTCTGTATATGTTTTTTGTAATCTGGGGACAGATTTTTCACCTTCAGAAATCAGAGCTTCCAGAGGGAAAGACCCTGGTGGCCTCTAGCTGCCATCCTCTTGTTTTTCCTCCCTGGAATGGAGCAGGGCAGTCAGCCTCTGTGGATGACAGAGGTCCCATGAGCCAAGATGGCGCGGGCTCCGGTAGATGACAGGGCAGCTCAGGATGGCTCAGTATGCTTATGTTCAAACGTAGGAGGAGTAAATTAAGACTTGAAAAGCTGGAAGATACCGCCACTGCTTCTCATTTGCTGTACACCCTGACAGCCCAGGGTATTAGAAGCAATAACTATTAGGTGTGGGTGTTAGCACCTTAGCCATATAAAAGTGAGTTGTTAAAAACACTGAGATTTGCAAATCATTAAAGGTACCTGTGAACTCGCAGTGGGCTGAGGTGCTTTTAAAATCACAAATTTGAGCTGCATTGTAAAGCAACATTAGGAAATTGTACAGTAGCATCATTTTACCCTGGGGTTTTCAGAGTTTCAGAAAGAAGTCCTGTTGCTAAACCAGCCATTGACTCTCCACTGGGCTGATGGGGGAGCTGGTATGGTTTCTCTGTAGATGGAGAGAGACATGATAAAAGGGACTCCCTGGTCATTATTTGCTGATCATAGCTTCTCAGCGACTGCTCTCATAGACAGGTTTTCATTGTGCTTACCTCTAAAGAAGTTGCCCAGAGCAAAGGTTTGTTGCTGTGATAAAGCCGTAGAGACAGAGGTAGTTATGCTAAGAGGAGGCAGTAGCAAATCTCTGGTCATGGCCTGTCATTTTGCTATAAAAATTTATCCAGGGTTGATAATTATCGTTTGATCTCCTGGCTTTCTCAGTCAGATTCTGAAGTTTGACCTATGCCAAGATACCCACTGGAAAATGCTGTATAATGAATTTTGAGCAATGTGGCATTTCAGAGGCTGGACCATTTGAGGAAAAATGCTAGGTCTCTTAGTAAACATAATCAATTATATGGAGATCTAGCTGGAATAGGAGCAAAGGGAGGGCATTTTAAAATATTAAAATGGTAAAATAGTTTAAAAATATATCTCACTATTTTCTTTGTAGTGGATGGGAAATATTTTTATGACATTATCCATTTTTAACTCCTAATTCAATGCTGTTTTAGTACACCATTTCTCATATCTATTATTTAAAAGTTCCATTAGGATTTTGAGACCCATTAGAATTTTATAGCAGTATGAAATGTGGTATCAGCAGGGTACCATTTTTCTTTTTTATAATTAAAGAAAGATTTTTTCCCCCTTTATTTTGAAGTACCTGATTGAAAATGTGGATAGAATGTTAGAAGATATGAATGAGCAAAAAGAAGAAAAGGGCACCAACAATCCCACGATCTATTGATAAATGGTGTTTCCTGGGGCCAACACTCCTCTCATTCACACGGGTTGGTTGTTCCAATTGTTCATGCCCACCATTTGTTCTGACCGATTGGTGCTTATAATTCCCAATTGTTAAATGTTTTGAATATGACCTTTGAAATATTACTGTTTTATAATCTTGAGTGTATCTTCTTCGACTTTTAAAATAAGTATATATAAATATATTTTGTTTTTAAAAATCAAAGATAAAATGGAGATACAATTTACATATAACAGAAACACATATTTTAAGTGTAAAGTTTAGTAGGTTTTGACAAAAGCATATACCCAAATAACTATAATCATCATCTTCCAAGAATGCCCTTATATCCCTTGGCAGTCAATATTCACAGCCCCCATCCTGCCTAAGCAACGATGGATCTGTTTTTCATCATTGTATGTTAGTTATGTCTTTCTTAGAATTTCATATAAGTGGAATCATATGCTATATACTCTTTAGTGCCTGGCTTTTTTAATGTAGTATGTTTTTGAGATTCACTTATGTTGTTGTGTATATCAATAGTTTATTCATTTTTATTGCTGAGTAATATTCCATTACATTGACATAATACAATTTGTCTATTGATTTACCTGTTGCTGGGAATTCAGATTGTTTCATGAATCAAGTTGTTTAGTTATCATGAATCAAGTTGCTAGGAACATTTATGTACCAATCTTTATGTGAACAAATATTTCATTTCTCTTGGGTAAATGCTGAGGAATGAACCTGCTGGATCGAAAGGTAAGTGTACATTTAACATGATAAGAAACTGCTGGACTGTTTTCCCAACTGATTGGACCATTTTACATTCCTATGAACAATGTGCATCAACTGCGATTACTCCAATCCTTGTCAATATTCAGTATTGTCAGTATTTTTTAAGTCATTCTTTTGGATATATAGTGATATCTCATATTTAAATTTATATCTCCTGATAATAATGTCAAGCATTTTTTCATGTGCTTTTGGTCATTCATATGTGTAGTGTCTTCAAATCTTTTGCCTATTTTTTTTATCATATAGATTGTAGAAGTTTTTTGTATATTCTGGATACAAAACCTTTGTCAGATAGATGGATTGCAAATGCCTTTCCATTTTCTTAACAGTGTATTTTGAAGAGCAGACATTTAAAATTTTAATAAGGTCCAATTTATTTTTATTTTCTTATGTGGTTTATACTTTTCTTGTTCTAAGTAATTTGTGCCTATTCCAAGACAGTAATGATTTTTTTAATCTGTGTTTTTCTTTAGAAGTTTTAGATTTTATGTTTGTATTTATGATCCATTTAGAGTTAATTTTATGTATGGTGTGAGGTTAGAGTAGAGGTTTATTTTTGTTCCATTTGGATATCCAGTTGTTCAGCACCATTTTCCCATTGCATTGCCTTGGAACACTTGTAGAAAATCAATTGACTATTTGACTAGTTCTATTTATGAACTCTCTGTTCTGTTTTGTAGTTCCATATCTACCTCTCTTGATAACAATAGCTTTATGGTA